AAGCCTTCCCCACAGACTGAGGTCAACCTGGTAGACTCAGTCCAGGTAGGTCTAGTCCCCTCCTCCCAGGCCGAGCCAAACAATCCTGCATAGGCCCCAGGTTTCAAACAGCCAACTCATGCAATGAGCACAAGATCTGGTCCCACTGCCTGGATGCCTCCCAAACAGATCAAGCCAATCAACTGTCTCACCCATTCGGAGGGCCTGATCCAGTGGGGACCCCTCAGCCATTGGTTCAATTGATTTTTTTTAAAAGTTCAGTTTTATTGTCTTGTAATTGGTGGGTTTAGTCCTACATTCTTTACTGAGCTATTCAAAATCACTTCTACTTTTCATATTCTATTGATACTGATTTTATTTTAATTTTCTCTTTTCTTGTTTCTTTGGTTTAATGGAGATTTATTTTCCTCTGTTCATTTCTCCTTTTGCTTGCTTTGTAGTTTTAGTGTTTAGCCTCAAAATTTTAACATGTGTTTTTATTTTTAAAAGCCTAAATTTAATTGGCATTTGTAATCTGAAGAGTGGAAAAACCTTATGATATTTAAATGTTAAATGGCACTCCAGACATGCTCTTTTAATCAATAACTTTTATGTCCAATTGTTTTTAATCTGTTTTAAACTGGACATTTATTATTATATTATTTTATCTGCTGTTAATGTTTAGACGCCAGACTTTTTTTTTTTTTTTATCCCTTCTTATGGTATTTCTTTGCAAATCAGGCCTTCGGAGGTCCATTTCCTTTCTCACAAAATTTATCATGTAGGAGTTTGCTTAGTGAAGATTTGGAGGTAGGAGATTGTCTAGTTCTTCCTATTTTTAAATGACATTTTGCTGTTTAAACAAATCTATGGTGGGAGCTATTTTGTTGTTGTTTGTTTTTTTGTTGTTTTTAGTCTCTAAAAATGTTAAACCCTAAATCCTGGGTGCTGAAGATACAGCTGGATAGTTGGGCACTTGCCTAACATGCACAGCCCCAAGTCCAGTCGTCACTCCTACAAAGAAAGAAAGAAAATGACATTCCCCGACCATCTCACTTCCATGTCGCTGGTGAAAACTCCAGTGTCAATTGTCTTCCCTTTCCTCTACTCCTTTCTTTCTGAGCACCGTTTTGTTTGTTTATTTTGTTGCTCTCTAAGTTTCTAGGTTTCGATTTCCCTTAAACATAACCAAACATGTGCTGGGATGCCTGAATCCCAGAACCCGTCTTTTAATAATGATAACAATTCATTTGAAAAATTTCCTATCCTTTTAACTATTTTTTAAAACAATCATTTTCTTTTCAAGTATTGCTTTTCGTTTATTCTTCCTATTATCTTTTCTAGCCCTCTAGTGACAAGAGATTATCTTACCCCACCTCCGGAGCTCTTCGTTTCTTTTATATTCTCATTCCTTTTTAAGTCTTTATACTTTCTAAAGATTTTATTTTTCTTTAGCAATACTTTGATAATCATAGAATCTCCGTATTTGTGGGCCTTTATCTACAGTTATTGTTTATTGTGGTTTTGTTTTTGTCTTTTTTTAAAATTCTTATTCTTTGTGGATTGTTTTTCCCATATTATTGAGTGAATGTATTTATATTTGGTGTGTGAGGTAAGGAAAGGAAGGAGGAAGGGAGGGAAGGAAGGGAAGAGGGGGGAAGGAAAGGGAGGGAGGGGGAAAAGAGAGGGAATACACTGGCTCCAGATGTCCCATGAAACTTTACACGTACTAATTTATATGGACCCCGGGCTTAAGCAGAGGTTGTTTGCTTCTGCCAGACATCTAAGGGCAAAACAATTTAGGAACCCTTAAACCAGTGGTTCTCAACCTGTGGGTCATGACCCCTCTGGGGTCACATATCAGATATTTACGTTAAGATTCATAACAATAGCAAAATTACAATTATGAAGTAGCAGTGAAATAGTTTTATCATCAGGGGTCACCATAACATGAGGAACTGTACTAAAAAGGGTCACAGCATTAGGAAGGTTGAAAAATCACTATCTTAAAATACGATACAAATAATGCTAATAATGGCCTCTAAACTATGTGGTTAGAAGTTCTCATAAGAAATACTTTAAAACACATTCCATCCTTATCTTTCATTGCTATCATTTCATATGTTTCATTGCATTTGTTCATAGCATGCTTTAACAAAAGTTATCTGTCTCCCAATATCAACTATTAAATGATACAAATAAGCTAAAAAAAGAAAACATTAAAGACTGGTTGATTATAATGTTGGGTCGTTAATGAAACTTTGCTAGCATCCAAGGGAACACAACCCAGGGCTTTGCTTATCAAGTAAGTTTTGGGGCATTGCCTGAGGCATCAATCGCTAAATAAATTATTTCAGAAGACTTCGGCTCCAAGTATGGGCAAGGAAAGCACAAAAGTTTCAGCTCCACATTAAATATTTACAGGGCAGTTAAGATTCAAAGATGTAGAAACTTGGATGTGGGTTTACTTGCCTATGTGTGTGCAGGCAGAATTGGAGTTATGCAATTCTCTGGGAAAAAAAAAAAATATATATATATATATATATATATATATATATATATATATATATATATATATATATGGCTTCAAAATCTACTGAGCAAAAAACAAAAAAACCAGAGTGCCTTCCATGTGAAAATAGGAGGGACAGGCTTTGTGCTTGCCCAGATTTGCAAAAGTAAGACCACAGAAGGATGCTCAGGAAGCTGAAAACATTAGCCACCTTTGGAGACAGGAGCAGGATAAGGGACAGAGGGATGGGTATTTTCCGTTGTATACCTGTTTGAATCTGAGTTTTTAGTCATGGAAACATAGTATCTATTCACATGAATAGAAATACAATAGATCTAAAGATAGAAGAAACATCAGAAGTGAAGGAGTAGTCCTCACTCCCTGGTTCTGCATAGCCCTCCGCACCTTCATTTCTGTGTCTGTAAAATGGAAAGAACAATATTTGCTCACTGGGTTTTGGGAATTACCATCATAATCAGCAATGAAGCTGACCACCTAGCAAATACATTGTTTTTATCTGAAGCCTTCTGATGATGCAAGATTGCTTACTTTTATCTGTAACTGGATTTTAATCAGGAGTCTCCTTTTTGTCTCCTGGGGTGGGGGGATATTCTGCAGGATTTTAAGCCTCCTGTGCTTTAAGTTTCTGAATTTATGAAATATAAAGAACACCACCATAATTCAGTCATCTTGCTGATATTTGTTGGCATTTAGGTAATTGTTCTTCATCATTTAAGTATGCTAATGGTATTGTGTTGCATTTAAATGGGTCTTTCTAGTTTGGAATGTATACTAAAATATTTATGGATAAAAATGTATTAGAGTTGCTTCAAAATAATAAAGGGAGAAATGTGTGAGGGAGTGCATGAACGGGAGTAACCTTGAGTTGACAATTGTCATAATTGAGCAATGGGTATAATAAGGGACTCATTGTGTGATTCTCTCTCTTCCTTTGTGTATTTTCATATTTTTTACTGATTAGTAGTATTTTGGGATTTGTTTTTCAAAGAGACTATGGTTAGGTAAGAAGAAAGCATCTTTTCTTAGCAGGTGTAGCCATTACACAATCCTGGCCCGCAGGTCACCAGGGGAAGAGCCGGTGGTGTGGTCATGGCTGGAGTCTCATCATTATTTTTGTTGGCCTTAGATGAACGACCAGGAACAAAGACTGGGACGCAAGGAAGTGGATTTACTGATACATATGAGGAAAATAGTTGCTATTTTTTTTAGAGTCCTCCTAATTAAAATCTCAAGGTTTTGATGTTTGGGGAGACACCAACCCCCCACAGGTTACAGAAACTGCCAAGTTCTGACGCCTGACATTCATGGCTCTCAGCCAGAAGGAAACTCTGAATGGTGGTGGAAGCGTCTCTCTGCTGTTAAATGTCAGCAGCCATTTTACCTTCATTCCGGAGCTTCAACTTTGAACGCCAATTAAACAGTACCCAGTGTGGCAGGTGCTTTCTTCTAACTTTGCAAATATCTTCTCTCTGATCAATTATCTCTTCAACATTTAACCTGGAAGAATCGACCGTGAGCATCAGCTACTGGTGTGTGGTCAGTACCATCAGAGGAGCAGAGACTTAGAAGTGCTGCCTAAAAAAAGTTTCCCTCTTCTTTCCGCGCCCCCCCCTTCCCACCTCTGTCTCCATGGAGATGAGGTCAGAGGCCACAGGGAGCTCACAAAGAGCCAGCAGCTGAGAATGAGAAGGCTCACTTAGAGAGCTCAGCTGAAAGCTATAAACTCCTTTACAGAGACCAGCTGAGTCTGTTGGCCTCAGCATCTGGGGTGCCTTTTACACAAATAAATAGGGGGCTTTTTTGTTTTTGTCTCTTGGGGTGAAATGGGCAAGAAGAGGTGCAACTGAATAAAAAGCAGGTTTGTCTTTACAATGAAGCTTACTCTGCCAATTAATGGAGAAATAATGTGCAAATACGGAAAAAAAAAAAACCCTTAAGAAGTGGATTTAAATAATAGTGCATTAAGATACTTAATACCTTTAAATAGTAGTGTGCAATAAGACAGTCCATGAGGAACTAAGCAATTCTCACCGGTTTAATCTCTCTTCTTTCAAGCTGGCCCTGTCACATCCTTGACAAAAAAATAATGAACATAATTAACTGCATACTGTCAGTTATAAATGGTTTTGTCTGATGGAACATCACTTGGTGCAATTCAGCATTACTAGTTAAAAAGAAAAAAAGTAAATCTGAAGACATAGGCAGTTGGTCCCAGTCCATAGAATATTCCATGAGTTAAAGTATAGTTTACTGTGGCTCCTTGTTTTTCTTGAACTGTTGCCATTGTGTTATGATTTTTTTTTTCACTTTTAAATATTTACTTTAGGACTAGCCATGTAGCTTAGCCTAGCATGGGTGAGACACTGAGCTCTATCCCTACCATTATAAAAGGGGTGGGGGTGGGGGGTGCCTAGACGAGGGATGGAGGAAGGGAAGGGGGTCATTAACTTACTTTCTATGGCTTGAGAAGAGCTACCTCTCAAACATGTCAAAGACTTTATCATTTTTATTTATTGTATCATTTTATTCATTAACAGCTAGACATTTATTGAAACAACATAAAATGTAAATTGAGGTTTGAGAGAGCCCAAGCAAGTCCTTTTAAATGAAGAACTAAAGAAGCCCGCGTTTCTGCCTTTAGTACGATTTTCTTGCCACACATCTTTAAAGCTCACAGCTTATAAAGTCCATGTTACTCTCAAGCATGTTTGCAAAACTTCATCATTTCTCTTGCATTAAACAAGTTAGTTGCTGCTTTTAGTCACCAGCCACACAAGCGCCCGGAATTTTCCAGAACGCCGTTTCCGCAAACGCCGGGGCTGTAAGTGCTCTCTTTCCTCTTCTGCTTGGCTGCTGCCTTCCCCCGCCAGCCTCTACTTTGTCACGCAGCCCTTTCTCATGTCTGTGCTGAGCCCTCTCTGTCCTGGGCTGAGCTCTTACTCCGCTTCCCTCCTGCTCTCAGAAGTGAAACAGAACATCGTGTTCCTGAGCTGCCCAGCACACATGCCTCAGGATGCTGCCAAGTTCACAGCTGACCAATTGGCCTACTTTAGAGGACTTGCATTTATAAAATTTACAACCTTTATTTCCCCTACCCATCTTCGACCTCGTCCCCGTGAGCGCAATAAAGACTGTGTCAAATGTACCGATACATCAAGAGCCCTTTGGTTTGGTTGCAACAAAAAGGGCAGGCAGTTCTTTTCCCCTTCCGTGGCTTGCAGCCCTGCCGTTCACTCCCAAGAAAATGGAAAACATCGGGTGATGTGGCACACAAAGACTTCAGGAAGCAGATGACACTGAATTCATAACTCATTTCTAAAGAAATATACTGATGATATGCTCTTCGATCTGGGGGGCTTCCCATCTTTTAATTTCTTTCCAAAAATAGACTCAGGCGAACTGGCCTTCTTCCCATTTAGAAGACAGGGCTTGTGCCTCCCTTTTTCACTGAGGCCTGGATAGGCAGGTTTGGTAGGTGTAAGTACTCTGAGCACCCTTGACTGGCTTTTCAGTAGATTCAAGACCAAGTAAGAGGGAGAATCTAATGTTAATAGAGGTTTTTTGTTTTTTTTATTTCTGTTTTTTTTTTTAAGAAGATAAAGGAATTGTTTTCTCCTGGAGCTGCTGATTTCTTCTATTATTTATTCAGTCTGGCTCATTAAAATATATTTTCTGTTAAGGGCAGACCCAGGTTTTTATGAAGCTGGTAAAACACAGCACCTTTGTTATGATCAGGGATATAAAGTTAGGTTCAAGAGTGAATAACCATTTTAAAATGAATAAGGAAGCCACAACTCCTGGCAAATAAAAAAAAGCATCCAAAAGATGGTGTAAATAATATCATTGGCATTAAGTGACAACCACTGTTCCTGTCGGAGTTTAGCCCTTTGACTCACATAACTTTTTTGTGATCCTTTATCATCTGTCCCTTCATGGTGAGAACTTTATAGTAAGGCTGTTCTGTGGAGAGAGAAGTGGTGATTTTGCCTTTCTTCTGGCATAGCAGATGGAAATATGGGTTTTTGTTATTGGTGCATTAGAATTGGTCCTTTGGCTTCAGATCTCACTAGTCATGGCACAGCTGAAACATTCTCTTCCTCCAGGAGTGCTTCAGTGGAAAAGTTTCTTTGATCTCTTCGGGCAGAGTTCCAGATGCTCCTTTGGCCACAGCTTCCGTGACTGCCTGGTCCTCTTGAGTGACCTCGGTGGGAGAACAGGGCACACAGCACACTTGTGGTAGAACCTGGGTCTGGAGGTTCTTGGCAGAGTGGTACACATCTCACTCCAAGCCTTCTATGTTGGTGCCAAAGCTGGATTCCAGACTCTTGGGCAGGCACAGTCTGGTACAGGGAAGCAAACTGGATGGAATGATGCTGGGAACCCACAACTGCCCTGCCCAGGGCATCAGGACTAACCCTTGAGCAAGGAAGTGCACTTTGTATCCATCCATCACTCCCAAATCCCTGAGGAGGGTACGCACACAGGACCTGGGACAGAGACAGTGTGAGAACTATAAAATGTTACCAAATCCTCCTCTCTCTTCAGTGTTGGTCGTATATTGGACATTTCTGAAACTGGACATGGAATGGAATTCTCTAGACGAAATGATTCCTACATAATCTGAAAATTTTAAGCTCCATATGACAAAGGTTTTTATCTGCATGTTTCACCGCTGAATTCTCATTATTTAAACAAGTAAGAAGTCACCCGCTGAATATGTCTCTGTTTGAGGAGGGGACCAAAATTAGTTATCGGTGTCTTTGTTTCCCAGGGTTAAAACAGGGTGGCCAACTGCAAGCCACTGCTGTTGCTCACTTCATGTCCACTCTGGAGCTACTTGCTTTTCCATCATCCCAGCCCCTCCCCATTGGGGGAGGACTACAAAGCGGAGCTGAAGCATTGTGTCATCCTCAGTCACTTGGCATTCATGCTTCGTTAATGCCCAAATAGCCAAATGTCAAGGCTTTTAGCCTGAGATTCTTCTGGTTGGGCTACAATGCCTGAACTTTTCCGGAGTCAAAAAGGTTTTGACCCCTTCTTTTAAAACTGAAGTGGACGATATTAAGAGAATAATCTTGAAAATATAAGCATGGTTTCCTGCTCCTGGAGGATGCTGAGATGCTCCTTTTTGAACCCATGAGGAAAAAATGAACATAGCCTGGTCAGTATGAGGGTTATTTGGGATGTCCCTACTAAATAATTCTGTAAAATACATTGAAATCTCATGAAACTCATAGATAGTACCATGCACATTCTCTTTCTCTCTCTCTCTCTCTCTCTCTCTCTCTCTCTTCTCTCTCTCTCTCTCTCTCTCTCTCTCTCTCTCTCTCTCTCTCTCTCTCTCCATTTGGACTGACATTTGTAAAAAAAAAAAAAAAAAAAAAAAACTCCATAGAAGGGCTGACATATAAATAGCAGAGTTTGTTTCCAGAACTTCTTACAGTTCTGGAAGTTTGAGACTAGACAGTTCAAGACAACAGTATTGATAGATTTAGGTTCTGGCAATGGCCCTTTTCCTGGTCAACAGAGGGAATATCACAGTAATCCCAGGGCTCTTGGTCTCTTTCACAAAGTTCCATGTTGATAAAACAACTTCCTAAAGGTTCTGCCTCCTCTCACTCCACAGTGGGGTGAAGACTTTTAACCTATGCATTTTAGGGAGATGGAAACATTCAAACCGTGGCAGTAAGTTTTGGAATTTTTCTTGTCTACTATTTATTACTCCATATTCTCCTATGTCTAACAGCATGGTGCCTGGGATTTCCATGTCTAAGTAACACTGGGAACCCTGCAGATTGTGATAAGGCAAAGTCAAAGACCAAGACAGTCAAAAGCATCTTCTAGGAGGAACTTGGCACTGGCTTCGTGCCGAGCAACAGGTGGGAGCGTGAAGAATACTTACTGAAACACCTCAAACACATTGGCTCTTAATCTAACGGCCTATACAGGACTACAAAAGGTGCACCTCTACCCCCTTGTTATCTTACTCAGTCAGCAGATAGGAGCCCATTGCTCTACATAAAGCCCTTTTCTCAGAGGTGTTCGTTGATCAATGAAACACAGCCCACACCTTAGAGGAGATGATGAAATTCATTAGAAAGAACGGGTAACGTAACTGTGTGACCAGTTAACACAAAAGCCACGGAAGGATCTGGCATTTATTTCTAGCTCAGAGTTCTACTGGTCCGAAATCTGGATGTAGTACACATAGGTGATCTGCTTAGGATCTCAGAGTGCTAAAGCCAAATGTCAGGCAAGATGCACCCTCATCGGGAACTGGTCATGTGGTTGGGACAGATTCAGTTCCTTGCAATTATAGACTTAAGTTCCTCGATGGTTGTCAGCCAGGGAGTACTCTAAGATCCTAGAGTCTGTCCTATGGACCACCCCGTGCCCAAGCAAGTAGGGGGTATCTTCCTTGTGCCCAATTCTTCTCCCACTTCAAATTCCTTTTGACATCTCCTCTTTTCAAAACACTGACCTAATTAGGTCACTCCCATCAAGGGTAATTCTATATTAATATCCACTGCAAAATTCCTTTGCCCTATGAGAATCACAGAAGCAATGGCTCATTGTGTCGCCAGCAGAACTCACACTCCATGAATGGGGATTGTACAAGGGCCTGATTGAAGTCATCTTGAAATTCTGCTTGGTGCACATAGCAGGAGCTATTACCACCCAAAGGAAGTGATATATTAAAAGTGGGTACAAAGAGCTATGAGAACTCAGAAAAGGGACAAAGGCAATGGTGTCTAGTAGGATAGAGTTTCTTTAAAACAGTGGTTCTCAACCATCCTAATGCCTTGACCCTTTCAGACAGTTCCTCATGTTGTAGTGACCCCCAACCATAAAATTACTTCTTTGCTACTTCACAACTGTATTTTTGCTACTATTATAAATCACAATGTAAATAAATATATGATATGCAGGATACCTGATATGCAACCCCTGTGGAAGCATCATTTGACCCCCCCCTCAAGGGGTCACAACCCATAGGTTGAGAACCGCTGGTTTAAAAGGAAGGCCAAGTTTGGGTTAATCGGAGAAGTGGGAGGCTTGAGTACTTTACCACGAAGGTGTGGCTTATCTCTACCAGTGTACCCAAAGTCTTTGAGTGCATGTTGAGAGCAAGGAACATCCCACCTCTGGGGACTCCTACCCTAATCACCAGTGAACCAAGCATGCCATTGATCCATAGGTAATGATTAAGAAGTATCTGGAACCTGCAGGAGTGACTCACTCCTACAATGCCAACAGTCAGGGAGCTTGGGCAGGAGGATTACCAAGAGTCTGAGGCCAGGATGAGATGCTGCCTCAAAACAAAGGAGAAAGCCGGTTGTCGCGGTGAACATCTTTAATCTCAGCACTCCACTCGGAAGGCAGAGGCAAGTGGATCTCAGTGAGTTTGAGGCCAACCTGGTCTACACAGTGAGTTCCTTGAAAACTAGAGCTACATAATGAGACCCTGTTTTGTAAAACGAAAAACACAGAACAAAAAAGAACAAAAAAAAAGGGGGGGGAGGGAAAAGAAAGAGCAAACAAAAGACAGACAGACTAGTTGTGATGGTACATATATATAGTCTCAATGCTGGAAACAGAAGGGTTGTGAGTTTGAGGCCTTGGAAGTCTGGACTACATGGTGAGATCCTGTCTTAAAACAGCAACAAAAATTTTTCTGACTCAGTGTTTATCAAATTTGAGGTAGTCATATAATCTTATACCTCTTGTTTATCATATTCATATTCTACACAAATGGGAAATTTAAAAGCAAAATTGGAATTTTGTAAGATATTTTGATACATACGTGCACACACACACACACACACACACACACACATACACACACACATGTGCAGGAAGAAGATGTGTACACCTGACTGAAGGTTAATAGACTGACTTCTGTTACACACACACACACACACACACACACACACACACACACACGTGCAGGAAGAAGATGTGTACACCTGACTGAAGGTTAATAGACTGACTTCTGTTACACACACACACACACACACACACACACACACACACACACGTGCAGGAAGAAGATGTGTACACCTGACTGAAGGTTAATAGACTGACTTCTGTTACACACACACACACACACACACACACACACACACACACACACACGTGCAGGAAGAAGATGTGTACACCTGACTGAAGGTTAATAGACTGACTTCTGTTGTCTTCACCTGTTGTTTCTGTGGTGCATTCTACCTAACTTAGCTAGTTTTATCCTGCTTCAGTCACTACTGTTCATATTCATCACCACTTGGAAAAATAGATATAGATATTGAAAATACATGATAGATAGATGACAGGTATGTGTACAGAGGGATAACAGATGATAGATAGATGATAGATAGGTAGATAGATAGATAGATAGATAGATAGATAGATAGATAGATAGATGATAGATAGATAGATAGATGATAGATAGACAGATGATATAGATAGATGATAGATAGATAGATAGATAGATAGATAGATAGATACTTATTTTAGGGAGTTGACTAATACAGTTGTGGAGACTAACAAATCTAGAGTCTGAGGTAGCCAAGAAGGTCAAATCAACTCACAGCTAATGTTAATCACTTTTACAAAGTACTTGCATAACAACATCTGGATTAATATTTGACAAAAAAAAAAAAAAACTCAGCAAGGTAGCCTATCCACATTGAAACATGAAATTAGGACAGTCCTGGACACTTGGAACTAATCAAGCCCCTAGGAATTTTTCTTCAGCCAAACATCACCTAACACGATGACTCAGCTACACCCAACCACCCTGGATTTATGTGATTTAATAAAATGGTTGCTGTTACAAGTCATTAAAAATGGCGTAGCTTGTTGGGTACAGCAGATTAAAAGGAATTGAACTCCCAAGCCTTGAGGACATGAGGTGGAGCATCTGATTTGAGTGCCATCTCTGTGAGGAGGCCACTCAGATGACTCAGCCTCATTGACTTCAGAGCCTGTTGTTCAACGTCCTTCAAGCATCTACCAGACATTTACTTATCAACCTCCCCCTCAAAAAAACACCTGGATTCTGTTTGATGAGCCAAGAAATAGACTCCCTACATGGCCTAAACGTATATGATTTTTGACTACAAAATCAGCACCTCCCTGGTCAGAGTAATTGATTCAAGAGAGGACATGTGATCTCTGGCTGTTAAGGGCGATTCAAGTGAGGGCATGTGATCTCTGGCTGTTAAGGGCGACAAAGATATTCTTTCTGCCTGGCTGAGTGGCAGTGAGGAAGCATTTAGCTCCTTTTAGAAGCCAGTGGCAACCGTGGGTGACCTTGATGGGATTCAAACATTAATCCAATAGGCTGGGACCCAGAACAGAACCGATGACCCACTTCCTGTGCTACCATGCTGCTTCCTCCAAGTCAGCCTGCCCTGAAGCTTCCTTTCTGTTGGCTTTTCCTTTCTATGAACTGACAAGTTTCCTTTATTACTGAAATCTATTTAGGTTGTGCTTTCAAGGCTTTGCATCTGAATGTCTCTATGTATCCATCCCAAAAGAAGAGACCACTACTAGGAAGTGTCTACATAAAGGAAAGCAGTCTCTTCCACTCTATCAATGACTGCTTCAGAGTCAGGTAGAGGTGGGGATGATGTGTGAGAGTCACATGACGTCGTCTGTCCTGACATTACAACTCTGGTTTCCACATCACCTGTTAGGAAGGGAGGACATCAGAAAAACAGGACTGTGACTAAGACAGATTGACCACTCATTGTGTATGAAGTACTAACTAACCATGTTTACATGTATTACTTAGTGAATCTCTACAGACACCTCAGGTGGGCCTATTCTAAATCTTGGGAATGTGGGAGCTGAAGCTGAGAAAAAACAGTTCAATTGACCAAAGTTATGGTCCTCAGTTTCAAACAGGCTTCATTCTCAGCTCCACCTGATTTGAGCAGCCCTCCCCAGCCCTTTGCATCTCTAAAGCAGGCTCCCAAATCAATCCCATTATCACCACAACAGAGACAAACAATAGGGCAGATAAGGAAATGAAGACATAAATGTTGTCTGGTTGTTTTTTATTCTTTGCTCTTTACTCTTTGGGGCGCCTACCACCCAGCTCCCACATAAACACACGGAAGCTTATTCTTTCTTATGAATGCCCTGCCTTAGCTTGGCTTATTTCTAGCCAGCTTTTCTTAACTTACATTATCTCATCTATCTTTTGCCTCTGGGCTTTTACCTTCCTCTATTTCTGTATATCTTTTCTTTCCTTCTTATTCCGTGTCTGGCTGTGTGGCTGTGTGGCTGTGTGGCTGACCCCTTCTTTTCTTGCTCCTCGATGTCTTTTTTTCCAGATTTCTTTTCCTGTTTATTTTCTCTGCCTGCCAGCCCCACCTATCCTTTCTCCTGCCTTGCTATTGGCCATTATTAGACCAATCAGGTGTTTTAGACAGGCATAGTAACACAGCTTCACAGAGTTAAAACAAATGCAGCATAAAAGAATACAACACATCTTTGCGTCATTAAACAAATGTTTCACAGCATAAACAAATGTAACACATCTTTATTATTCTACAGCACATAAGAGCAACTCAGAGCACATAAACCCATGTGGTGAAGACAGAAAGGTCGGAGAGACACAAGCCACTCCCAGCATTACTCTACTAGCTGCACAAGGCAAATATTGCAGCCATGTGCTCCACTCAAAAATCTCTTGAGTGCTGGAGCAGGGTCTCTTCTGACCTCCTTTTCCACTAGATAGAAACGAGGCCAAAGAGTTTCTAAAGCCTATTTCTAAAGACTATTTCTAAAGCCACAGAGCTAGATGCAAGATGTAAACTAGAACCAGAGCCTGTTTTGGCACCATCTCACTGGTCCACAGCAATGGAGTGTTAATTTGGGAAAAATGGTGACTAGGTTCTCTGTTGGTCCACTACTTACTGAGCTGAGTCATTTAATCATTAAAGGTGTTAATTTCCTTACCTGTTAAATAGGAGGCAATAATAGCACCTGTCATGTACAGAAATCACATAAATCAGTAGTGGGAGCATGGTGAGTGATGCTGTTAAGCACTGCTGAGCCACTCACACCTTATGCCCTACAGTAATGACTCTCTACCCATCCAGCCTTATCTTAAGTGCCCCTTGGGAGTCTTTTCCACTCTGGTTACTTCCAAAGGGACTTCAATGTCAGTTCGTCAGGGATCTTCTCTAAATAAGACTTTCAATTACTGTGCCATACAGTAACAAAGAAGATAAGATGAGGGGCCTAATTCCCAGCTCAATTTGTGCAACCTTTGGTCTTCTTTGCTCTTTTCTCATTGGTAGAAAATGGGGAAGAAGGCCTTTCCACATCTTTCTCCAGCCGTGCTCCCACTGCTGACCTTCGCTGACAGAAAGGGTCTAAGGCATTCAATCAGTGGTGACTTGTGGATCGGTTTAACCTATGTCATCTGCTTTTCAGAGTATTTGGTATTCCACCGATGTCAAAGCTCAATGACACTCCCCAAGGTTGGGATCTGGGTGTCAGTCAAGAGTGGGATGTGTCTGTGTTTGCCTTGGTTCTGCTGGTGTGGGGTCAGGAGAAGGAAAGGGGGGAACCTGGACTCTTTTCCAGGTCCAGATTCTGCCCTCCAGGATAGAGGTAAAGAGGGAAGAGAGGGTGCTAGATTCTTCCTAGGACTTCATGAGACAGCCTGGCTAGGGTAGAAATTGCTTTCATTTGAACCAAGAGATAGGGATAGAAGGGGTAGAAGACACATGCACTTAGAACCAAGTCCTTTATCAAGGACAAAAATAAATAAACAAAGGTTAATAAAAGCAGAATAGGACAGAGTGTCTTATGAACAGCCTCAGGATGAAGGAAGAACCCAGAGCTCACACTTGATTGCTACCCTGCTGTACCATGGGTGTGGACAGATTCAGGGCACCAAGATGGCTGGCGTACTCTATTAATAGTTACTGCCCACTCTTGCTACTCTCAGCTGGATTGGTACACCTTCCTAAAAGGTTGCTGCTGGTAGAGGCAATGACCAATGTCACCAAGAGTCTCCCTTGAACTTGAGAGCATTCTTTCAGGTCAAATCCCAGGCTACAGTGGATTCCTTCTCATGGTGGTTTGTGGTGAAGGGAGGGAGAAAGGGATCCTTTCTGGATGTCTGGGTAGAGTGGTCCCTGTCCTAGGAGTCCTAGGTGAGGAGCAGAGGGCTGAGCATGGGTGTGGGATATGGCAGGGGAAGCAGGGTAACAGTGTGTGTCTTCTTAAGGTCTCAGGACTCACTGCAAAGTTCCTTAACAGAGCACACACTCCACATAGTCTTCATAGACACCTATCTTCACACAGGCCAGCCTCAGGCTTTTCACATGTGCACAGAAGCTATAGTATGAATATTATATGTATGTATGTATATATATATATACATATATATATAATATTATATAATGAATGATCTGGATTTGACAATCCAACTGTAAAAAGACCATATACTCTCTCTGAGCTAAGGCTACAAGTTGTTGACTATAATTTGAAGACTGGAAGCAGAGATAGAGAATACCCAAGTGGTATTAAATAAATCATTTTGAGAAGAATAAATCATTGGGAGAAGTAAGACTGTTGTGAGAGTGATAGGCATCCCTACCAGAAAGGCCACAGTTTAAAGATAGGGTGATTCTATAAAGAACCTTTACAAACTCTGCTTCAGCCAAGAGGCCGTGGTCAACATCTATAGTCATACATCATAGTCAACCGTCAACATACCAATAATGTAATGTGAAAACCTGTCATTGTACTTCTGTGGTCTTCCTCCCCCAAATCCATTTACATCTGCTCTAATTGTGAGGAAAAACAAAACAAAATAAAATATCAGACAAATCCCAGTAGACGACGGACATCTGACCTCTTACAAATCAGTTATCAGGGCTCCTTAAAACCATCAAGGTTACCGAAACTGGACCATCTTCTGAACTCTTAAAAACTGTACAGCCCAGCCAAGACAATGTGACAAGTCAATTTAACATGGGGTTCTACAAGGGATCACAGATGGAGGCAGTGTGGTGGCTCACAACTGCATTCCCGGCATTTAGGAAGCAGACTCAGGAGGATCATCAGGAGCTCTAAGCCAACCTGGGCTACAATAGTGAGTGGCCAGCCTAATCTACAGAATGAGGCCCTGTCTCAAGCCAATCATCAAGTAAAAATCAAAGAAGCAATTAAAATAAAAATAAAAAACAAAGGAGATGTGAATAAACCATTGTTTACCTTCAGTTAGTATATCAATATTAATTTTTAAATTATAACAAATATATATGACTAATGTACCTTAAGGAACCAGGAAGACAGTTTGCAAAGCTCTTTACACTATTTTCTTTAGATTTCAAACTGTTGTAAAAAAATTATTTTCCTAAACTTTGTAAGTGTTTGATTATTTAGAATAAGATCAAACGACCTATTAGCCATGGAGCGCTTCATGCAAGCTCATAAGCCCAGGCTGAGAAATATTTACAGGGAAAGGAGGTTTTTGTCACATGCATAGTTTCCCAGAATTGTAATGTAATTCTCTGTCACAAGAAGAGTAGACAGTGCCCTGTATCTGAATCATAAACTTATTCTGTGTTCCCATGGCCAGGTCACCTGTCCTGGCCATAACCACCTGGTGGCTTCAATGTGGACTCTATGAATTATGAACTTTCCCATAGGAAGTGACGGTTATTTTATAGTTCTACTGCAGCTGGGTTTCTGTCTGGAACATTTATAAACTGTGTAACAAGTTTGGAGAGATTAACCTCTCTGAAACTCTCTTTTGTCTTTTGTTAAGAAAGGAAGGAAAGGCGGGAGAGATGGCTCAACAGTTAAGAGCACTGACTGCGCTTCCAGAGGATCTGGGTTCGACTCCCAGCACCCACATGGAAGCTCACAGCTGTCTGTGACTCCAGTTCCAGGGGACCCAACACCCATGCAGAAACACCAATACATTTCAAATAAAAATAAATAATTTTAGCCGGGCGGTGGTGGCGCACGCCTTTAATCCCAGCACTCGGGAGGCAGAGCCAGGCGGATCTCTGTGAGTTCGAGGCCAGCCTGGACTACCAAATGAGTTCCAGGAAAGGCGCAAAGCTACACAGAGAAACCCTGTCTCGAAAAAACCAAAAAAAAAAAAAAAAAAAAAAAAAAAAAAAAAGAAAGGAAGGAAAGAAAGAGGGAGGGTGGATGAAGGAAGGGAGAGAGAGAGAGAGAGAGAGAGAGAGAGAGAGAGAGAGAGAGAGAGAGAGAGAAAGAAAGAAAGAAAGAAAGAAAGAAAGAAAGAAAGAAAGAAAGAAAGAAAAGCAACAATCAAATTTCGAAGGGCTGTGACCACAGAGGAAATGAATATAAATTCGATGCCTGGCACATAAAAGTTCTCGGTAAACGATATTCGATGATAAACACAGTTATCCTTCCCAAGCAGGAGAAGGTAATCCCCTTTGGTCCTCAGGAAATACGGCCGGCAGCCCTCTCCTCAGCATGTTTCCTAATTTAACTGCATGAGGCATCTAGAAGGCTCTGCCAGCCAGCGGCAGCCTCTGCTTTGTATCTAAGAAAGTCTTGGTCATTAAGCAAAGTCAGGGTCTTTGCCATCGTTTTCATCATCACTGGCCAAGCAGAGAAAGGCCAAGCCCCAAGGGTCGGGTACATCTCTACCCACCCATCTTCTCTGTTCTTGAAACAAAACGCAAAAAAAAAAAAAAAAAAAAAAAAAAACCAACCCAAACCCGACAGTTAGACAGTTAGTGTCAGACCCCCAGCCCAGGCTGAGGACCGAGTGGGAAGGCTCCTTCCTCTGCCTGTTCCCCAGCACCTGTCACGGAGACGGGATGCAGGCCGGCGGCCGCTTCCTCCTGCCCCCGCCGCCCGGCAGACCCTCGGCTCCCGGCAACGCGCCCGCGGCCCACGCCGACTAGAAAGCGCCCATTGAGTGCCTGCAGCTGCCGGTGCCGCTTGCCCAAAAAACTAAATAAAGCCCCGAGTGCAGTTCCAGCGAAGAAGACACTACTGTGTTCTTCCCATCCCAGTCACGGCTATAAAGCATTAAATGCAAACTGCTGATTGTTAACGCTGCCTTTGTTTACACCCCGAATCTTGAATCACTATGGGGTGGCTCTAGGGCTGCCAGGGCCGGCCAGAGCCGGCTTTGTCCTGAATGATGCAGCCTGTTCCTGACCGCCTACACAGAAAAGAAGCTGAGTAAATAGCATAGCGTTTGGGGGGGGGGGGGGGGGGGGGGGGGGGGGTTTGGATACATGTTTGCTCATGGAGACCTCAATGAGATTTTGTTCCCGGTGGGATTGAAGGAAATGTATTGCAGAAGCCTTAACTATATTCGTGGATGTGTAAAAAGTTTGGGGATTTGTAAGATCTCCCAAAGGAGAAAACCTGGTGCTGTATGAAATAGATGCGAATGAATGAAAGGATGGCTGGGATCCTCTTATAGAACGGCAGAACTGAGGGGAAGGGAGAGGGATGGATGACGGGAAGTGTGATTCAATCGCTAAGCTGACTGATGGGCAGCTGCAGTATTTACCCACCCCGAGCGCCAATCATGGCCATATGCTTTTAATATTCAGCAGCCACTCAGTACTCATGAATTTAAAGGATTTTCACTTGGAAATATTGCAGTGGAAAAGGCCCTTTGACCCTCTGCCTTTCCAGGTAACAATAGCTTTTCTTCTTAGTGTTGAAGGTTTTTAGGTTGGCCATGCTGTTTTCTGGTCAAAAATCACGTGACTGAAGTAAATGAGAAAATGTAGGCAAAAAAGTAGTGAGTTGAATTAGAATGTGTTTGTATTTTTATGCAGTTATTATCCATCTTCATACATACACCAAAAAAGTTAAAATGCCTAAGTGAAATTTCGTTCTGTTTTGCTTTGTATCATGCTCTGCTAGCTTCCAGCGATCATTCCCTATGCCATTAGTATTTTTACAACAGTAATTCATAATGAGTTTCAAGTATTTCTGCCCTATGCTTCTCCATGGTAGAAAACAAAACAAAACAAAAACACCTCAGAATAGAGTTTTGCTTACACGGGCTGTACTTGAAACCTAGAATGGGCTACTCACAGCTAGCAACTCCAAGACATTTATCCACACTGGAAACACACCACTGTCTTCAGAATAATTGCAGAACCGTAGTTGGTTTCAGCATAGTATTTGGAAAGAACACACACCGTGGTGAGATGACAACTTTCTCACCTGCAGATGTGATCCAAAGGGAAATGAGAAAGAATGAAAAAGAGCACAGGACGCAGTGTGGGTGTGGGAAAAAGCTGAGAGCCAGAGAGCCAGAGATGACTCGGTCCACACAGGCACATGCTGGCTGCTGGCATCTTGCACTGGCTGACACAGTCTCATAGTGAGGAGCTTAATATCAAAATGCAGAAGGATTCAATGAAAATCACGAAGGGGCCATCTTGGAAGGGCACATTAAACAAAGCAAATAGACTACGGGCACATTAGACAAAGCAGTGGCAAGTGGACCATGGGCACATTTGACAAAGCAGTGGCAAGTGGACCACAGTCACAGTAGACAAAGCAGTGGCAAGTGGACCACAATCACAGTAGATGAAGCAGTGGCAAGTGGACCACGGGCACATTAGACAAAGCAGTGGCAAGTGGACCATGCACGGTGCACTTGGTGGTGATTGAGCACCTGTTCCACGTAAAGCTGTCACTGGCTGTGAAGAAAAGAAGAGAACAAAGGATCTGCATTCTTGGGTGATGCCTTGGGTAGGGGACTTCCTGTCTGATGAGAAGATAGGATATACACAAGTCATATACACACAGCACTGGAGCTGCGTGAATGGAGGAAATCGAAGGGCTAATGAATGGTAGACCAACTGATGAGACACCATTCACAGAGAGAAGATCGGAAGGTCTCCCACCAGAGAGAAATGGTAAAGCAAAGGGAGAAGACTGAGACCTTGCCCACAGGGAGAGTTTTCACAGCTGGGTTAGAAACGCAACTGTAGTTTAAAGTGTCTTCAAAGCCGTGTTGGGATCCAACACTAACACTATTAGATGCAGACAGGCTTTCCTCTTCTGCCATAGAGAAATTTCCAGAACAGCTTGCAAAAGATGAACTTAGATATTTTTCAGCACATTCCATATAAGAGTAGACCCACCATGTCAAAGAAACATATCATGAATTTATTACTTAAATAACATCTCTCTCTTTCTCACATGGATTTTACATCCCACCTGTACTTCATGCAATCATGAAACAAGTGTTTCCCGACTCTTCCCATGAATTAGTATCAAACCCACTAGAATCTTGCATAAGGTTTGTGCTTACCCATCCCACCCCCCACGCATGCATAGACATTTGCTTACTCACAGAGTGAATATTCCATTCAGAAGGCAAAGTGTCACAGGTAAATGTGGCCACAATGGATGCAAATTACTAAATTAATGTTTTTGCAAAGCCAATTTATTTCTAATGAAATTTGAAAGCTTACGTATTTGCAGAGATGGTTTAGTATTTAATTCTCAGACTCTTCCTCTTAAAGCCAGTTTGCTTCCTTTTCAAACCTACATGGTGACTCTTAAGGTCATGCAAAAATGCAATTACAGCTCTTCAAATAAGGAAGCCAAAAGGAAGAGGCAAGGATAGCTACATTCCCAAGGTAGGACCTTAAACTGTCCCCTATTACACAGCAGACAAGAGCAATCTATCTAGTCATGGAGCAGTCATTGTGTGTGTGTGTGTGTGTGTGTGTGTGTGTGTGTGTGTGTGTGTGTGTGTGTGTATTTGGTTTTTCAAGACAGGGTTTCTCTGTGTAGCCCTTGCTGTTCTGGAAATCACTCTGTAGACCAGGCTGGCCTTGAACTCAGAGATTAGCCCGCCTCTGCCTCCTGAGTACTGGGATTAAAGGTGTGTGCACCCCCACTGCCTGGCTGAAGCTGTCATTCTTAGGGGCTGGGTCATGGTCTTTCCCTAGAGCTTTTGAATCTTTTTTTTTTTTTTTTTGAGTTTGTCTTTTTTTTTTCTTAAGAGACTTTCTATTCATTTTACATGTCAACTTCAGATTCCCCTGTCCTCCCTCCTCCCACCCCCCAGCCTTCCCCCCCAAGCCACTCCCTATTCCCAACTCCTCCAAAGCAAGGTCTCCCATGGGGACTCAGCAGAGCCTGGTACATTCAGTTGAAGAAAGGTCCAAGCCCCTTCTCCCTGCACCAGGAGCCTTTGAATCTTGATGACACTGAAAATATCTGTTAAGATTTTTTTTAAAAGATAGAATGCATCTATGAATTTATAATGGAAGGATCACATACCACAACAATTGCACACCAGGGTAGGAGTCTGTTCTTATCTTTAAGTAGTTTTAGTCTCATCACCAGACCAGAATGTGTCTCACTGTGGTTAGAGTAAATAAAGACTCAGGGTGACATTTTTTTTTTCCAAATACAAACAAAATGCCCAGTCATCCTAAAGCACACTAATAATGTGAAATAGAAAAATAACTGTAATTTAAAGACTCTTTTCCATTATTAAGTTGAAATGTTCCCCTGAATACTCGTATCTCATTTGTGCATTTCTAGTTTGAAGAAACATGAACCATGTTCCAAATTTGCATTTTAAGAGGTACAGGATGTTTTAAGACATAGCATAATCCTATGTTCAGAAGTTTTAGGTCAATGAATGATTTTTTATCGTCTATCCATCTGTCTTAGGATTTCTATTGCTATGAAGAGACACCATGACCACGGCAACTCTTACAAAGAAAAACATTTCATTGTGGTAACTCGCTTACATTTCAGAGGTTTAGTCCATTATCATCATGACAGGAAGCAAGGCAGCATGAAGGCAGACATGGTGCTGGAGAAGGAGCCGAGGGTTCTTACATCTTGATCCCACAGGCAACAGGAAGTGATCTCTCACTGGGTGTGGCTTGAGCATGTATGAGAGCTTCAAAGCCTACCGCCACAATGGAACACTCCCTCCAACAAGGCCATACCTCCCATTATCGCCACTTCCTTTGGGGGCCATTTTCCTTCAAACCACCACAGTATGTATGTATGTATGTATGTATGTATGTATGTATGTATGTAGGTATGTATGTATCTGTCTATCTATCTATCTATCTATCTATCTATCTATCTATCTATCTATCTATCTATCCATCCATCCACCTATGTATCTATCTGTCTATCTATCTATCTATCTATCTATCCATCCATCCACCTATCTATCTGTCTATCTATCTATCTATCTATCTATCTATCTATCATCTATCAGTATCTATTATCTCTGAGGGGGCTACACCTCATCATTAAAAATTTCATGATAATGTGTTGCAACAGTATCTTTAATTCCGGGTTCTTTTTTTTTGTTTGTTTTTTGTTTTTTTGAGACAGGGTTTCTCTGTGTAGCTTTGTGCCTTTCCTGGATCTCGCTCTGTAGATCAGGTTAGCCTCGAACTCACAAAGATCAGCCTGGCTCTGCCTCCCAAGTGCTGGGATTAAAGGCATGCACCACCACCGCCCGGCTAATTCTGGGTTCTTTTAAGAATAATATTGGTGAAGACATTATTGTAGTTACAATTAGTGCATAATTAATTAACCTCAAACCATCAGCTTAGGTCTGTCCTTTCATTTTGTTCTCAGCTTTATGGTTGAGAATTCAAGCAGGGCTTCGTAGGCTGGTCTCTCTTAGGACCTTTCGTATAGATGTATGTAGTCAAACAGGATCTGGGGCTTCTGCCCCAGATGAGACATGCACTGGGAGCTCAGAGTTGCTACTGATGGCCTGTTGATTGTTGACTCTTACACCAGGCTAGTGTTGAAGGTTAGCCAGACTTCCCATGTACCTAGAATATGCAAGAGAACAAAGCAGGACTTTGTCTGACCAGCCTCAGATACTGCAGTGGCTGTTCTCAGTTGCCACTGAAGTTGGTGAGCTCCCGGTGGGAGGAGTAACAGA